GAAATGCCTCTTCATCACGAAGGATCGTATGGTACTATTTTTATTGAAAACAGATGAAGTTTTCACCTTCATGTACGTCATATAGAAAACTGAATGATCTCTCATGCATGGGATCTGTTCTTTGTGATGAAGGAACAGTTCTACATATTTTGCTTTTAAAATATTGAAAAAACACTTCACACTAAAATTCCTGTGTTGTAATTGCGGCCGACAACTCTAACAGGATTCTTGTCTGAAATGTCAAGAGACAAGAATCTTGCAAGAAATAGGACAAGCTGATATATCCTCTCTTGTTTATCAACGGAGAAATGATGTAACAAAATCAAAGTGAATACATTAAACAAAATAATAACCGGTACAAGACTAGTGCTGTTTAATCAACGATGAATACTCATCTAGAAGAACAAAAAACGTTATAAGCGTTTAATGGGAACAGATAGTACTTTTAACTGTGAGTTTTGTACTTTATCCCAAGACAAAATCTCGGTTGATTGCAAATTCTTCGTTGTTGTCTCGCTCATTTAAGAACAACTAGAAGAGTTTATCGCTGAATGATTTTATTGAAAGAAAATGCGACAAGCACAAAGGGATGATAAAATTATAAAAGGAAAAAATCGGCACGCATATTGGCGAGGAACGCAGCACACAGTGATACGCCATACCACTGCGAATGGCTATGTCGATTAGCATCCGATACTGCTTTAAACAGTTTTTTCTCCTTTGTGAGATGTTCAACGGTTATCCGTTTGGTTGACAAAAAATGATTAAACAGGTCTTTGTGCTGTATCGGTAGATGACGAGATTCATTTCTTCTAATTGGGATGAAGAGTGGGCCGCCGTTGGCGAAGTCTTTATCGGCTAAAATTTTGGTATTCGTTGGTACGGTCTGAAGAGCTCGCGAGTGGAGGAGCATACGAGAATCATGAACCGATCCCAAGTACCCACTTTTGAAAAACACAATTCTTTGAGTTGTTGATACAATGTAGATTGATCCGATGCAATGAGACTTTTTCTTCTCAGAATAAATAGTTTTTGATATTGTCCTGAAAGAGAAGAAATCATTTCTGGTAAGGAAATAATTTTATATCTTATACGCAGAAAAATGTAAAGAACTGTCAACAAATATGAAGTATTTATCTCATTCATTGGCAACTTAATTAAGTAAACGCATAGATGTCTCTCTAATTTCCTAACTCTTAAACTTCTGAGAGTGGAATATGATTCAAAGCAATGAAAAGCATCTTACGTGGTCTTCTAATAATGTGTTGAGTGTCGTCTATTGCGCCAACATAACGTCCGAGCACCGGGTGATAAACAGTCATTCGATCCCATTCTGGTGCTGTTGGCCAGCCGATCTGTGTGGATATGGTTTTCACGAGCACGGGGAAACACACGAGTTGTAATCAGTTCACTTTGTTCTTTGAAATATTGAACATAGCACTGAGAACGGCATATGCAGGGTAATTACGTAGCCAAATGAGCAGCATAAGGAGAACGTTTTTGTCCAGAAACACAATCGACGCACGTTCTCGTGTGAGAAATAGTTTGTATAGAAGATTGAGTCGATAAGTGTGTAGATCACGTTGAATTGTTCGATTGTTATACCCGTCAGTTCGAGAAATCGGAGTGGCGTGGAGTATAACTCAATACAGAGATCTCGAATGCGTGAGTGTGTATCTGTCCGGTGAAATCACAAGTGATCGGACAGTCATATATGGAACGATCGGAAGTAGTTGTAGAATTTGTTGTATTCGTAGAACCATCTTTCTTGTAATTGTTTTTCGTTGTTCTTGCTCCTCATATTCACACACATTTGACACAACATCAATGATTTGGACGATATTAGCACATATTCGTGAGCAAAATCGAGAGATTCTTCGACGACGCGCATCCATTCTACAGCAAGAACAAGTGAAGGTGCGTAATATTTTTTGATGAAAAACATCGATGTAATATCAAAAAATATCGAGATAGAGGATCCCTTACAGACCTGTTTGCAGTTTTGTAGAGTCAGAGCCATCAAAATAACTTTTTTTTTCACTGAGCAATACATTTTCGTAACAACAAAGTAGAAGAACAAATAATTCATAACAGCTGAAGTAAAAAGCAAGGTACACAACAGTTGGTTTACATACAAAAAAAGAAACAAACGCACAGTGTATATACACAAACAAATTCCATTTATCTCTTTATTGAGAGCAGTACAAATTAATAGTAAATAAATATAGTGTATAGCTACCGTAAGGAATATCTTTATTGAGTTTACATTTTACTTTCACAAAATAAGAATATTAAATAAGATTAAAATGTGAAAAATAATTTTGAAAAACACATGATCAGACATTGTAACTATATTGAACAAAATCTTTATCAAAATTATTTTTCATATTTTAATCTTGTTTAATATTCTTATTTTGTGAAGTAAAATGTAAACTCAATAAAGATATTCCTCATGGTAGCTATACACTATATTTATTTACTATTAATTTGTACTGCTCTTAATAAAGAGATAAAATGGAATTTGTTTGTGTATATATGTGTACGAGAAGTGTACATTTATTTATTTAACCTTGTCCATGTATTCATTGTTCATCATACAACTTGTCCATGTCTCTAGAAATTGAAATATTTGATAGAAGAGATAATCTGCTGAATAAATCTTACCGCTCTATCCGACTCAGAATGTCATCCGCATGTCGAAATATCGCAGCACCTTAAACGCTCAGTGGTGCAGCACGTCGAGTGGGTTCGCCATATTTTTCTATGTCGTCTCTTTGAAAATTGGTAATATCACTGATTGTCGCCGGCCGATCAAGTCGAGGTGATCGTAGGGTTCTCGGTGGAGCTCTTTGAATAACCGAACGAGACAAATGAGAGGATTATGGACGGCGATGATCTTTTATCACCGAGCCATCCACAGATCGGTGAATATCCATTGGAGAATTCGATCGAATATTGTGTGCTGCCGTAGGCATGACGAAGAGACCAGAGAAAAAAAGGTAAAGTCCGTTAAATTTCCAGTGGAATGCTATGGACATAAACCGTATTGTACTCAACCCTATAAAAACAGTTTATGAGAGTAAAAGGTTTTGGAAAATGACTAATGTCCTCTTTTAAGTTTAGTAGTGTTGTCGGAAACAACACTACTAAACTTAAAAGAAGTGGGTTTGATCTGTCACAAAAATCCGTGACACGACATTACCGCGAACGACGTTACTGCGAACGACATTACCGCGAATACAAAAAACGACATTACCGCGAATACAAAAAACGACATTACGGTGAACGACGTTACCGCGAAGACTCGTTTATTGGAAAAGAAGAATAAATGAGCCTGGTTTTGTACTTCGTATATCATGTGGCGGGAGGTGGGGAGAGGGCATTGTGAGAGTGAGTTCGAAAAGTATTTTCAGATAAAACATATTATCGTAATGGGAAACTAGATATCTGTGGCTGTATCAGATAATGACTAGTCACCACATAACGTCAGTTAAGTTTGAAAACATGATGTACAAAATACAAAACCGGCCTCATTTATAGGCTTTTCCAACAAACAAGTCTTCGCGGTAATGTCGTTCTCTGTATTCGCGGTAATGTCGCTGTATCCAAAATTCACAAGGTATTTTACAAAACACTTTTCCATTTCCCAAAATACCCAAAGAGTTTACAAAAACTACTAAACCTCTATTTATTCTGTATACTTTCATTTTCCTAATATTTACTCTGATAAACCCTTTTTTGTACAGTTTAGTAAAATACAATTCTTTTTACAGAGTAAGTAAAAAAGTATACTCACAACGTGTTCGATTGCTCTACTCTTGGTTGTGGCTGTGGGTGATCAATGACGTGCAGAGCCGATGTTGATTCAATGTCCGGTGCTTCGGGTGATGGAGACGGTAATCGAGGCTTGACATCTTCTTCCAGTATCAAATATTTGAATGGTACCAGCAACTCACCATTCAAAACTTGATTAGTGGCCTTTGCAATGGCCATACCACTGAGTAAATCGTCCAGCTGCTTATCGCTATAGAGACGAGGCTGTATGAGCCATCGTGGTTTACGATCAGTTGGCGTCGATATTTTCTCAATACACACGATTTCATCTTCTGCTTCAGGTGTACTCGACTGTTGTTCTTGCGTACCATCGTCTCGCCGGTCATCGTTTACTTGTTGATGTACTAGTTCAACTTCTTGTTCGGTTTGTGGCGAGGGCGGATCGTTGGTCGATATCGCTATGTTTGAGTTTTGTCGTGGTACGAGCGAAAACGATCTCGAATATAGATTAGCATTGTCCTCGCCTGTATACAAAGATTCACCTGCCTAAGAGAAAGAAGTTAGTGAAGTAGTGTATATATATATATATCTACTACCATTACACTTAAAAAAATACCGGACTTCTGCAACAACCTCACAGCAAGAAAACTGAGAGCGTAATACACCCAATGTCCATTCAGAAATCTGTACTAAAATCAGTTCATCGCTAAACGGGACAAATAGATGTGATTTTTTAATGAAGAAGAAAAAGTTGAGACGCTCATCCAGTAAAAACTTACCTGTCGATTCACTGGTACCGTTCTAGCCAGATGACGTTGACGATGGTATTCGAGTTGACTTTGATATGCGCTCATTATTGTTGCTTGTGATGTTGTGGTTAATTGTGTCGCTAAGTCGACGGCAACCTTCTTTTGAGATGAACGTGGAGACTGAACGGGCGTTGGTGCGTTGCCATAAAACATGTAGCCGTCATCGTACGACACATAATCAAGTGTGTCTGATGGTGACGGGGAGAAATTTTGCTCGTTGTTTATACGGGTAGCGGCAACTCTAAAAAGTCGTAATGAGCTGAACTGTAGCTAGGAAGTTGAGGTATAGGCATACCGTTGTGCTGTCGACGTTAGTATTTCATTGATTCGATTTGCGGCCGTTTTCGATTTTATTTTGTCGTAATATTCACTTAGTTCACCATACCCGCCGTCTTTGAGCTGCTGAGTAAGCGCTTTCGGATTACGACCTATCAGTGGGTTGCTCGAAAAGCCAATAACCAATTCACGTTCAATATCGTTGATCAAACGGTAGTTACGTTGACTCATGTCCAGATATCTGAAAATATATAAAGTTACAAAATATGCGACGAACGTTGACGGGAGAAGCAAACGGAAGGCAAGAGAAGAATAAAGCCATTGCTAAATCTTAGTCTAAACCTAACAAAACGGAAAAACTTACAGGCAAACCTGGGCAATAAATCATTATTCTTCGCTAATATTTCTTAATTAATAACTCCCTCAACGTACTGAATAGAGAAAGTAGAGTAACTTTTTCTTTCGTGTAGAATGAAAAAAAGCATGAGGGTGCTTCAGCTCATCATCCACTAAAAAGAGAGATTATATCATCTACTGCGACTGAAACACAGAAGCTGAAATTTGTTATGTGGTTGTAACGAAGAAACTAATTGATTTGACGAAAAGTTAGTTTGGGGTTCAACTTTATTTAAAAAATCAGGATTTTTACAAAAATCTGTTCCCCTTCTTGATAAGTTTTTCTAAACATTTTAAAATCCAGAATCTGTAACTCAAGATATAGTCCTAAAAAACTAGCAGATTTCGAATTAACCCCAAGATATGCGAGTTATACAATTATATAAAGAGATACAGAATTATATCACATAAACATACTAAATTCCTTAAAGAGATGTCAAGAAGAGCTCAGAGTAAAGCACTCAATCCATTCACCCGCTAAACTGATCAACTTTTATCATTATCTTCTTCTTCTTCCTCCTCTCTTCTCCTCTCTTCACATCTCTACCGATGTGTCATCGATCGTACAACATTTCTTCCTTCTCTTACTCTATCTACGTACAGCGACGGATGATTCATCGCGCGTGAGAAACAAGAGATTTTTTTTCTTTACCCTATAAACAAATGTGTCGGTATGTTGACGTATGTCAGATACGAATCTACGCTAAAAGAGAAAACTCTAATATCAATAGTTCTGCTTCAAGAAGATACTGACTATGGACCATAGCAGCCTTTTAACCATTTTTACTTCTGTTTTACATACATTATCTCTGACTAGCATGGCCCGAGGAGAAAGCCGGAAAGTCATGGTAGTTCAGACAGCTCTCTGAAAACTCATCTGACTGTTATATTGGAGTAGACACCTACTTTTTCATACGTTCAGCCGTGATATTGGCAGTCTTATAACTCAAAAACTAAACGGTACCTTCTTCTAAAAAATAGTATGGTATAGAGTACAAGTTTTGTACTGCAAACTGGAGAAGGCTACTCTCAACGAAAACAGCAGTTCAACTGAATTTTTTAAATTAAGAAGTTTACATAACCGGACTAAGTTTAAGTAATTGGAATGGAACTTTAGTGCAAGAAATATGTCACAAATGAACTGAATTTACACGAGGTTTTTCGAAAAACCGTATCATACCGCAAAATACCAGCAGTATCGACCGACTGATTATACTTCATACTAATGCCAGTATACCGGTCGCGTTATAATTCACCGGATCAGTTGCACCTCTGATCTGCGCATGAAGAAATACAAAAGTATTCGTATCTGAAGTTTTTGAGCTGTGAGTTGTTTTTCCAAAGATCTTCTCAAAAATCTACTTTAAAAAAGTATTTTCGAATTAATATCAGTTATTGAAATGTGTCTGCTCCAAAGTCTCTTCTTCGTAATGGTGAAACCCGAACTGGTATAGAGTACAAGTTTTGTACTGCAAACTGGAGAAGGCTACTTTCAAATTTGTTAACTTTTTAATCTGGGAGGTTGCTAGAATAAACACTAATTTCATAGCGAAGGAAATCTTTCTTTTGGATAAAACAATAAAATTTGTTCTTTTCTTCATTTCTTGCTTTATATATCTCTTTATATTATGCATAGAAAGAACAAAAACATCAGGTCAAGTATAGTACAGAAAAGAATATATACATACATGTCCATTCTATTATACGATAGTTCAATATTCTTTTTTTCAGGCATATTGAATAATTCTGTTCTCAATTTTCTCTCCAATCCAGTTATCGGTGAATAAATTCACCGATGAGACTTTTGACGGCTTCCCTTACTATCTGTACTAGCAACGTTCAATTGTTGAACAGTAAATGATATCATGAGTCTATTTCTCTTTCTTTTTGGTGTTTTATATTTATTGATGGAAATTCTTTTCTATCCTTCTTTTACGAATGAAGCTTATAACAGCATTATTTACAGAAGCCGACGCAAGCGTATTAAGTGTCAATTAACTACACAAACTTTTTATAAATTTCAGACTGCTTTCACCGGAGCTCTTACTCGCAAGTCTTGTAGTATTGAAAAACTACTTGTGAAAGTACATGGCAAATAAGTAATTTTGAAAATACTTGCTAATTGTACCAAGTACTTACCAAGTGATCAAGTACCGTTCACTAGGAATAATATCAAAAGTTTCGTGTCATAGCAAAGCTAGATGTTTTGAATCATATAAAAGCGTTTTTTCTTTAAAACAGAAACATAGAAAAAATCTCAACTTGAAGATGTTCCACTGAACAGATGCTCGATTTGTTTCTGCTATTTTCTAATTATGTCAAAAACGCAATCAACAGAATATTCTTTCATCTTCACTCAGTCATTTGAAACACTTATATATCAAGTCTGTCGTTATAAGCCTCAAATAATTAGAGATGCGTCAGCATCTCTTCAAGAGAAGATTTTTTCTCCTTTCTATTTGTTTAACAAAGTATAGTTTCTTTAAAATGTTTAACTTGATGAAAAAATATTTTTAATTTTGATAATATGCAGAAACAGCTTTTTTAAACAAACGGTTTCTTGTTAACGGTCTCATATATTTTTTTCCTTTCGGTGTACGCGATGTTGTCTGGAGGTATTGAAGGTAGCAGAAAAGGTAAGTAGAATCTAGACTTGCCAACTCACTTTTTTCCGAAATAACTAAAGTTATCTCATATTATGCAGCCCAAAATTTATTTAGTGCCCCAGCAAAATATTTCTACTGTCGTATTACCCACTGGTCAGGTTATGACGATTGGTTCGCGTCCAAATTCAGCTATTCAGTCAAAAAATCCATCTGTGTTCAAATCGAATCCTGTTTACCCTGTAGACGACAATCTGGCACCTACTGATTCAACACCCCGATCTGAAAGTCAACAGTCAATATTAAAAACTGTGACTGAGATTCTTGACGGCGGAACTGGCCGATTAAAAACCGCGGCACACTCACTTGTATTAGAATCGGTTTTGGCAACAGAAATAAAAGTACGATGTGTATTTCTCAGAATTGGAGATATCGACACATTAAAGTACGTACTCGGTTGTTACTTACTTTTAATGATTTTTCTCTAACAAAAGTACCAAATTTTGGTGAAAAAGCAATATTAAGATGAGTACGTGTTTTCAGAATTCATATTACTGTCGACAATATCCAAAATTTTAAAGTTTGTTTTTTCTGTTTAAAGTTGTTAAAAGAGTTTACCTTTTGTAGATGCGCTCTTTTTATTCTAGATAATCTAGATAGAGTTTTAGAGTTTTTTAGTGTGTGATGTCTAAAGAACGAAAGTTCAAGAAATGGATTCTCACATCTAACCACATGTACTCATTTCATTTCAAAACGAATTCGAGCACTCTGGCATAGATCCGAAGAAAGAGTTTCGGAAAATGTGCCCTTTTTACGTGCTATTCTGGAGACATTTGAGGAGCTATATCAGCCAGAGTCGTAAAAAAACATTTCGTCACCATATTTTTGCATGATCAATATTTATGGACCAGTTCTGACTTGGTGACATAGAATTCCACACGAGAAGATCTTAAATTGCACCTAAAGTCATTCTGTTTCTAAATTTAGTTTAAGTGTGAAGCCCATTAGGACCACATTTATCAAACACGTCTGTTACAAGGTGTTGAAGGATGGACTTCAAGCGACGATGAATTGAGTTAGTTCTTTCGCACTACAGTGATTATAACTAAATTTTTTTCTTTATTTTTAACGATATTTTTCATGAAGTAAAATTAAAGAAAGAGTAAATAACGTTTTCCTTAATAGAACATTAAACGTGTAATAAAATGTTGAATGTGTCTAGTGCATAGCATAAGTGATGACATTTTTTCTGGTAGATTCATTTCATAATTACATTTACTTTTTCTCCACATAAATACGTTACATTTCTTTCAAATAATATTTCTACTCAAGTTACATACAACAGGGGTTTAACTTAAGAAAATTCCTCTAGGGTGTTATTGTTTTTACCATAGAACCAATTTCGATATAAGCTGAAGTTTGAACATTTGAAATAATTTAATTTCAAATGACCGATTCAGAAATCTGAAATGGAATATCTGGAAAATCATGATATTTCGCACACTAAACATGAATAATTAATTCTTTTGAAGAAATCCTTTGCTGTTGAAAATAATTTGAGTGGTCCATTGTCTTCAGAAGCGTTTGCACTACATACTACGAGATTCAGCTCGAGTTTAGAAGTTTTAAAACAATATTAAAATTATAAAAGTTGTATTTTTTTCAAAACCATATTTATTAACGTTTGAAAGAAGGTGGAATAATTTCAAGTATATCATTTCATAAGGAATGAAAATCTGGATAAACATGTGGATTTACGAATATTGCAGCATAATTTTGCGCATTCGCATTCAATGATTGTAGAAACTCATAAAATAGTAAAAAATGTTCCGTGCGAGAAAGAGTGATAAAATGTGGACTCCTTCCACATAACAGCGACAAAAAGAAGTTGTGCATCATCATATCATACCATAAAATATAACACGACTATTTACACATACTTATTATGTCATAAACAGCAAAAATTATATTCATGAACTCTAGAAACTTAATAAGAATCAGAAATAGTATTATACACTGTGAACCTTTAGACAAAGAAAATTGTGAATGTAGGAAAGAAATTGCATTTCAAACCTCATCTCCAGATGCGTTTTCCACAAAATATCCTAGAAAACTTTTTCGGAACCTCGACATTTACATCAAAGCGTTCGGTTTTTCAAGCTCTGTCGGATGTTGTATTTGGAAGTTAAATTGATTATTTTTTCAGCTAAGAAATTTAAATTTAATAATTTGTTAATTAATTAATTAATGTTGATTTAAAAATTTCAGATTGGAGCTAAATGATCGGATCTCTTTTGGTATGTTGTATAAACACTTCTGAAGACAATGAACCACTCAAATTATTTTTAATAACAAAGGATTTCTTCAAAAGAATTAATTATTCAAGTTTAGTGTGCACAAAATAATGGTTTTCGAGGTGTTCCATTTCAGGTTTTAAAATTTTTCTGAATCGGTCATTTAAAGTTAAACTGTTTCAAACCTTCAAACTTCAGCTTATATCGAAATCGGTTCGATGGTAAAAAGAATAACAGCCTAGAAGAATTTTCTCAAATTGCACGCCTGTTCTTTCGTGTATCCTTTTAGTTTCGAATTCCAAAGCAAGCATAAATCAACAAATCACATTGTTGGGTTAAGTAGAAGTAAAAAATTGACACAGCAGATATGGTCATTGATATGGTCGTTATCAAGTCAATATAAAAATTGAAATGGAGAAAAGAAAACACTCGCATTAGCTATATCACTAACATCTGAGAGTTCTTCAAGTTCTTCTCATTGAAAAACACAAATATAGACTTTTATTGAAAGAGTCGTTAGCCGTCAGGGCTGTTGGTCCTGTGTTAAACGGAACAGATCGATCAGTTCCATTGAACGTCTATCCTGGAGGTGCAGATGATGAACGGCTTCCAGAGAGTGTAGTAGGTGTTGGTTAGTGTTATTAACAAATATTTATACTCTTTTTAAGACTTTTTACTCAATTTCTACTAGACAGTGGTACAGTCAATGCGAATGTGTTTTTTCTTCATTTCAATTTTTAACTTTTCATTTTCTATCACAGTTATTTATATTGATTTGATAATGACTATAATAGGTTGAAATATTGTCTTACCACATAAAAGAATGTTTTCATTTCACATAGCTGCATTAACGATACAATTTATCTTAAAGTTGTTGCCTGTCTCAAAAGGAAATATCATTCGAATATCCCATTATAGTGTTTTTCTAATTTTGATAAATTTCTCTTAAGCGAACGTTATTATGCTGAAGTATTATTTGAAGCCAGTTGGACTGATCCACTATTAAAATTTGAAACTACATATGACCCCAATGTTCACTGGAATCCAAATTTAATTATTATTAACAGTATCGGTGATCAAAAACGCGATGTTTGGTATAGTCTGGCAAAGAGCAGCGACAGTGATTGCCTAGAAATAACTGAGCATCAGCGAATCAAAGGTTTATTTTGGGAAAAAATGGAATTACAACATTTTCCCGTTGATGTTCAAGAATTATCCATACAAATAACAACAGGGAAACAAAATCAAGATCATACAAATTCAGTTAAATTTTTAAAACATATAAAAAAACAATCAGGAGTAAATCGAACAATATTTACCGATGAACAAGAATGGTATCTCTACGAGCACGTAGAAATTAATATTAACGAGCAAATTGAACAATTATCTGACAATTTAGAATTAGAAAAACATAATATGGTTACATGCTCATGCCACGTAGCAAGGTAATCGCGAATGCAGAATGAGAAACTTCAACTTGACTCAAAAAGTCAGAGCAAACGGGTATATTCTGCAACTCTGATGCGGAGTTCTCAGCTCACCAGGTGATATAACAATCAACGTGAAATAAGAGATAGGAAAATACCCTAGAGAAATTATTCTTTTATTCCACGCAATTTCGTCATATAAGAAATTTCGTCTTTTTGCTCGAGGAAGTATAAGAAGCGCAAAAAAGTTAACTTCGTATCTAACGAAAGAACCGCCCCAGGTTGCAAATCGCTTTTCGATAAAACTAAGGCGAATATGGGTAATCGATAGCGTTGATTCAGTGGTTACAGCTGCCCTTAGCCCCTGCCTATATCCTCATTAGTCTTATCGAAAAAGCGATTTGCAACTTGGGCGGCTCCCTTGTAAGAAGTCTTATATCTTGGCTCAAGATCTTGTGCTAATAAGTACCTATATCATGCTCCGTCTGTACGCGTTCGCTAATATATTGAAATCAATCTCGAAACAGCTAAGTGACAAGACAGAAATGCTGAGAACGCAGTGAGGAAATGCATAAGCTTAGAACCGAACT